TGTGTGCTGCATATTTGTGTGTGTGTGTTGGCGTGTTGCATGTTTGCGTTGTGTATGTTTGTGTGTGTATTTGTGCATTTACGTGTACGTACTTGTCTCTGTCTGTGCCTGTATATGAATGTATATTTACATGTCTTTGCACAACCCGAGATTTATCAGCACCCGGGTTGAAATTCGTCGAAATCCCTCTCTAGAAGTAATTAAGAGCAAACAAGAACTAGATTGAATCGTGGAAAAGTTATTATAGGCCGAGGGGGGGGGGGGAGGAAAAAGCGAACTTAAAATCCATGTCCTAGATAGTGAGACTGAGAAAAATACGCCCCGAGGGTCAACAAGCACTGTGGGGGGAGGGTTGTGGGGGTGGGGGGGGGGTGATGGGAAGGTCAGGGAGGGAGGGGAGGGGAGGAAGAGAGGGATGGATGTGGGATGAAGGACCTGAGCGGGAGGGAGGGAGGGAGGGGGGGGGGGGGGCAGACCCGTTTGCTGCACTTGGGGTGGAGGGACTAGCCACCTGTGTGTCTTTTTGACTCTCTATCCATCTATGTATATTAATCTATCCCTTTTATTATATATATCTATCTCTATCTATATATCTCTATCTCTATGTATATGTATGTCGTCTCTCTCTCTCTCTCTCTCTCTCTCTCTCTCTCTCTCTCTCTCTCTCTCTCTCTCTCTCTCTCTCTCTCTCTCGTCTCTCTCTCTCTCTCTCTCTCTCTCTCTCTCTCTCTTCTCTCTCTCTCTCTCTCTCTCTCTCTCTCTCTCTCTCTCTCTCTCTCTCTCTCTCTCTCTCTTCTCTCCTCTCACTCTCTCGCTCTCCTCTCCCTCTCCCTCTCCCTCTCTCTCTCTCCCTCTCCCTCTCCTTTCCTCTCTCACACGCTCTCGCTTGCTCCCCAATACCCATTCTATTCTCTTTCCTTTCTTGAAAAATATGCACAAAGGAATTCGTGTGGAGGGGGGGGGGAGGGGGGGGGGAGACTAATGAGGCGAGAGGAGGGGAGAGGGGGAGAGCGGAGAAAAGAAAAGAGAAGAGAGGAGAATGAGGTACCAAGGAGTGCGTGTGTGTTGGGAGGGTAAGAGGAGGGGGAGGGGCCAGGGTGTGTCTAAGGGAAGGGGGAGGGTAAGGGGGAAAGGGGGGGGGGCCAGGGTGTGTCTGGGGAAGGGGGAGGGGCGGGGAGGGCCAGGGTGTGTGGGGGAAGGGTGTAGGGGGAAA